ATTTTGTCTCGGTGGTGTTAATCATGGGTTACACTGCCAACTTGCTGCTTTGAGGAAATTGTGCCAGATACATGGAAGCACTCCAGCTTCGCTCTTTCAACATTTGGTGCCTCATGTTATTAGAGACGGTCCGTTTCTTGGTGTAATGTGTGTCAGATATCACCATGTCACTATCCTTCGTAGTTTTCTGGTAACTCGCAATTGAACAGGTAAATTCGAGGGTTCAGTGGATGGATGGATTAACCTGCATTTATATAACATTGGCTGGTTCATAGTGCTCGTTGTAAGTGTTCGATCTGGTGGACTTTTGATGAATGAAATTAATTAATCCCCTCTCGATGAGTTGTTTATGTGCCGTTTTTCTCTGTTTGCTTTCTGGGGTCTCGGTGGCTCCCACTCGTGCGCTCACTGATTCATCCAACATCTGTTTGTTGGGTCTCTTTTGGCTGCACTTGACAGAAACCCATTGGAAGTTGCTGGAGCAGAAAGGGGCCTTTTGTGATCACGGTACCGTGGGAGCTCCCAGAGAGACTCAGGGTCTCCATGTGTCTGCTTACTTCTTCCCAGACTCTTTACCTCCTCTTCACGTGGCTTGGTCTTCCCCATTCTCCCGTCTTACCTTGACTGTCACTTCCTCACAGAGGCCTGTTTTCATTCTGTTTCCTCTTGCGGTGGCTGTTGTGGGGAGAGAGGGGACGTGATGGGGCAGTCACCCCGTTAGGGCTCTCCTGTCACTCACCGCTAGCCCTGCAGCCAGCGTGTGCTCCGTGCTGGACCCAGGGACACAGAAGGAGAGGTGTGACATTCCTGTCCCCAGGGGACCCACAACCTAGCAAAGGTGCCAGACCGACCTGCCAGAGGTGAATCGATGAGTCACTTGGAGACAACAGCAGAGGATGCAAGAACAGCAGAATAAGACTAGAAACTCCCACTGTCGTGAGGCTAAATGATAAGATAAATCAGTAAAATCTGTGGCACAGTACAGTTGAGGTGTGAAAATAGCTCATATTGAGAACCTTGAAAAAGGCAAAGGAAAATAGGAATATGAGACAATTCAGACTCAACATGTAAATGTTACGAGGTGAGGAATTCCAAAAATGAGTCTGTAAAAGCGACTCTAATTATAAATGGGATGGTGGTGGGGGGATTTGGGAAGGGCATCCCAGGCCAGGGGGACAGCAGGTGCAGAGGTCTGAGTGGTGGTGTGCTGTGTCCTCGGAGTGGAGGGCAGGGGCAGGGGCATTGCTTGGGAGCTTAGAGAAGGAACCGGGAGCCCGCCTTCAGGGCTCCTGCCAGCCATTGCAGGGGGTCACAACTTGCTGCAGTAGAGGGAAAGCCAGAGAGATTGCTGGGGGGCAAGATGAGGAAGGCCTTCCGTAGCCTCTTTGAAGTTATAATTGCTCGTACTTTATCCCTTTCCCCTGTTCTGTTTTTAGTTTTCCTGGTTAAGGTTTGTTATCTTAGGCTGGCTTAATTAGACCCATCCCTGAATTATCCCAGAGAACACCAGGGAGGTCATAGAGATAGGGCCGGAGGAGCACTGCCACAGCTGTGCCGAGTGGCCTTGGTGGAGAACAACCCCCCCCGTTACCTGCATGTGCCCTTGGCCTCTTCTCTTCAGGGCTGCTTTTCAGGTGCTTGCCGCCCGCTGTCTGAGTCCATCCTTGGAGCATGACCTCCCCATGCTTCTAATGAAGCCTCTGAGCTGCAGAGAAGAAAGCCCAGGATCACACAGGGCGAGCTGGATGGAGCCGGAAAGAACGCACTTTTGTCGCCAGTGGCCCTTCTTGGGCACCCCTTTCTCGTGGGTCACCATCCTGTGCTATGGCCTTTATGGTACAGACCCATTCATGCTGTTATAAGTTCTTTGTTCCTTTTGGGACATTGATGTCGTACCCTTATGAGCTGAAGGTTTGTTACGTGGCTCTGAATGGGGACTTGTCCGCATCCACGATCTGCCATGGACCACTTCATAACCCCGTGGTTACTCAGATTGGTGGTCCGATCTTGTTCCTCTTCTGTAAGAGGGGTTAGCACGGCCTGCCCCTCCTGGGCTCGGGGGTGTGTGGCTGAGGTCACCGACATCAAGTCGGAGCCCAGCCACCGCTGGACAGTAGCTCGCTGGGTGGAACTAGCCAGATAGGTTTGTGAAAATAGATTCACTTCTTACCAAGACTGCCTCTTTTTTCCTTTGTAATCATTCTTCTCTTTTCCTGGGCTGCAGTGTGATCCGGATACAGACATGGGACGGCCAGCCCTTGGCGGTCACTCTAGCCTCGGGCCAGTGCTGCGTTTCCTGGTCCTCTTTCCCTGCCGTCCTCAGGAGCGTCCTGACAGAGATCAGCTGACAGTCTCCAGACATTGCTCATTCATGACGAGTCATGGGTCCCCATTGCATTATTTTAATTAGGCAGCTAAAGATTATGTCAAGTGCTCTCCCAGGCCTGTTTGATGGGGGCTGGCAGGTTGCTGAAACATTTGTAGTATTTATTGCCAGGTCTCTGAGGCTCCTGGCAGGGTAGGAAGCGTGGCTTTTAGAAGCTGCATTCTTTCTTTGTGTGTCTGTAGAAGGCTGATTCTGCATCTCAACCGATGTGATTCCATTTAGCCCTTGCAGGGGACCTTTTTAGCCCTTCGTCTTTTACTCATTGAGCGATGCGTATTGGTAATGAGTGAAAATATTTATCAATTTGGAGAATGGCTGTGTTGGCCTTCCTGCCCCTACTAAGGCAGTGGGGAGCCCAACACCATTTTGCTCAGGCTGCCTGGCCCAATGACGATGCATTCGTGTGAGTCAGGAATTGGTGAAGAAGTGGGGGGGTGAGCAGCGGTTATCTCAGACGTGCGGAAATGTGTGATGAAAGATGAGACTCTGTTTATAAACACAAGTGTCCCTTGGTCTATAATTATGACGTGTCTGCCTTACATGTGAAGACATTTTCCCCACACTTCGGACTTGGAGAATTAGTGGAACCTGGAATTTGGGGTTCGTTCATCTAGAATGATAGTTTCATTGTATTAATATACTTATAGTTTAATTTCCATTTTGTTGTTAACTGTTGAAAGTGTTATTCATGTAAGATATACAGAATTTCCTTTCTGTTCCTTGCCCAGGTCAGTAAAATGCACAGGATACGTTCAGTGTGAACCATGCCTTCAGGCGCTAGGGATGTGGGGATGAATGAGACACGGTCCCTGTGGGCAGCCAGGGCAGCCCCAGGCCTGTGAGCAGGCAGGGGCGATGCTGCAGAGTTGGGCACTGACAGAAGCATGTGGAGAAGGTCAGGGGGAGCACGCAGAGGGCTCACTTTTAGCCCAGTTGCCAGAGATGTCATTTAGCTTGAGTTGTGAGTTATAGTGAAGACTGGCCAGACGCCGAAAGCCAGTGCCCACCAGTTGTGGAAGATGTTAACAAAGTCTTGGCAAAATGTCGCCAGAACTGAAAGATTTCTGTGTTACAGAGCCTGACAGAGGGAAAGGCAAACCGGAAGTCAGAAAGGTCAGGTGCGGGGAGTTAGTTCAGTTCTGCAGGGCCTCTGGGTCATGCTCCAGCTTTGTTGTGCGGCTGGAGTCCTTGGTGGGTGTGCAGGAAGGGCTGTGGGAGAGTTCACATGTCAGATCATCTGGATAGAGGATGTGGCATCTGCGTGGATGGATGGATGATGGATGGAGGGTTGGGGGGAGACGGAATGGGCAGGTGAGTGGATGCATGGTTAGTGGGTGGGGGGTGGGGGGTTGGGTGGACGGGTGGCAGATGGATAGGGGAGTTACCTGAAGGTAAGCAAGCCAGGTTACAGGCTTTTGCCCTTGTCCAGAAAAGAAATGAGAAGGGCGTGAAACAGTGTAGAGGTATTGAAACAGAAATAGGGAGATACTGAGGAGGTGAAATCAGGTGCTGAAAAACCGAGGTGGGTGCAGTCGGGGTCATGGGGATATTGAGGAAGGCTGTCAAGTCTCCGACTTCATGATTGGGTGGGCAAAGAACTGGGACATCTGGAGGTGGGACCCATTTGGTGGAGAAGATAGTAAGTCCAAATTAGTACATTGGGTCAGCTAGGCAGAGGCCCCGCAGATGGTTGGATACTCAGTCCCAAGATCAGGGAGGGGCAGAGGATGTAGAAGAAGGAAGTAGTCAGTGTGGGAAGGTATCAATTGTGGCATTAAAGGTTTACGGAAGTCCACAGAGGAAGGTTATATGCAAGGATGCTTCTAGAAGGAGAAGAATTGGGAGTGTTGACAGAGAACTGTGGAGTGCCCATGTATGACAGGTTGTATTAGCACAGTAATACCAACCCGGTGTGCTAGGCCCTGTGCTAACCAGGGCAGGAGGGAGTATAAAATATAGCACCCGCATATGTCTGTTCATTTGTTTTAACAGATGAATTATGGTCTGCTCACCCCAATAATGGTTGTGTGCGTGTTGCTACCTCACCCTCCCAAAGAGCCGTGTTTTCCGTCTCTGTTAGTGCCTTTCTAGCAGCCCCTCACGTCTGTTGTTCCACTCCTGCTGGGGTTAGGCATTCCCAGCGCAGATCCTGCCGCCTTTCTGAGTGGCTGGCTCTCGGGACCGCGCAGTGCTCTTGGTGAGATGGTCCAGCAGCCTCTCAAGGGCCAGAGCCTGCCCCTCTCTAGACCTCATGCTGTGGGTACCAGAAGGAAGCCCCAGCTGCTCCAGTCCCCACCTCTATGCTCCCCAGATGTGCTCCTCTTTCGTCCAGTCAGTGGGCCACACCCTGACTTACTCTCAGAGCCCGCTCCGGTGGTGTCATTCCTGGGGCCTCCCCAGGCAGAGCTGGCTGCTCTTCTCCCTCTGTGGTGAGCTCTCTTCTGTTGCTGCCTGTGGTCGACAGGTGTCTGGGCGTGGGCAGGCTGTTCCCCTAGAGCTTCTGGTCTCCCACGTGGCCGGGGATCGTTGTTCCCCTGGCTTTGGGCCTAGCACCGCATTCACACGCGGGAGCTGTTAGCCCAATGACGCTCACTTTTTCTTCTCTCCTTTCCAGGGAAGCAGTTCAAGTGCACGGTGTGTGACTACACGGCGGCCCAGAAGCCCCAGCTGCTGCGGCACATGGAGCAGCATGCCTCCTTCAAGGTGAGAGGACGCGGCGTGTGGCGTGCAAGGGCATGTTGGAAGGGCATCGCTTGTCCCAGTGAAGCTGTCCTTATTTTGGGGTGTTGCCCTCACTTCCGGGCCCCTTAGCTAGTGTGCACAGAGTCTGAGGTGTAGCTCACTTGGTGGTGTGCTCTCTCCTTCCAGAAGGGTGGGATTTCTCTGTCCTTTGGCAGCCAGGTCCAGGGACCATGCATGACTAGAGAGAGACAGGCGCTTACTCCACACACCTGGAGGGTATAGAGGAGAGGATGTGAGCTCTCAGGACAAGGGGTGTGCTTCCGGATCCCAGATGGCCTCAGGTCAGTCCCCCGGTACAACAGGCATGACGATGCCCAGCCAGAGACCCGGAGATGGTGGCCGCAGGGTGCCCACTCTGGAGGCGGTGGCTGTCCGTATTCGTGTCATAGCCGTAACTGAGATCCCCTGAACATGGATGCTGAATATGCCCTTGGCCGCGGCTTCTGCCACAGTTACTGACAGTAGGACCTGTGGGCCAGTGACTGTGTTTGCTAAAAGCTCCTGTCGGCGCTGGCAGCTTGCTGCTGCTGCTGTGTCTACACATGAGAGTGGAAGCTCGGTGCTCTAGCATGTTTGTTGAAACTGTGTCCACCGCTGAACCCCAGAGAACGTAGGAGGTGGGGGGCTATGGGCCGCCACACTTGCAGGTTGCATTTATTGAGCACCTACTGTATGCCTGCCCTGTTCTAAGAGCTTCTCTCCTGTCAGCTTCTCCCCTACCCCTCAGTAGATCCCATCATCCGTCTCTGACAGATGAAGAACTTGAAGCCCAGAGAAGGTAGCCGATCCCCTATTAGGCTTGTCTGCCATGCCCACAGCTGCAGCTTTCAGTCACTGTTGGGATTACCGACCAAGCTGTGTTGTCACCACTTTGGAGGACACTTGGACTCCACCACTGGCAAGCTCTTCTGAGGCTCAGAACAGCTCTGTGTGAGATGACTTCTCAGGATCTTGTCTCAGGTGGTTAAGAAACCATGTGGTCCAGAGGATTAAGGGCTTGTGTGCTGTGAACATCGAGGAAGGATGACTTTGCTCCGAGTCCGAGGTGTGGCCTTCTCTCTTTGTGTCTTCTCCTTACTCCTCGAGAGCAGGGAGGGGCTCAAGGGGAAAACTGAGGGGGCTGCACCTGTTGCTTGTGTTGTGGCTTTAATGTCGCCGCGGTGGACCTGTGTTTCTCAGGCAGGACTCGCCTGTCATCTCGAGGGATTGGTGGTGTGTCCGCGGGGAGCACTTCAGATGTCGTGCAGATTTTTACGTGATGAAAATGAAGAGCTTTATGTCGCGTTGCACAGCCACCGGTGTTTCTTCGGGGCAGCGTAGACTTCGGCAGGCTAGGGCAGGTCGGGTGCTCGGGAACAGTGAGCTGAGGCAGCTCTCCTTTCGTCCATGAGGAAGGGGACCCGCCAGTTCTTTATCGTCCTCTCCGTCCATGCCCGGACTGGAGCTAGACTTCCCATTCATTCCTGGGTTTTTAGTGGGAAACGTCTTCCCTCCCCAGCAAGACACAATGCAACAGCCTCTCCGGTCTCAAATGCTCACGGTTCTCTCTCCCAGATTTGTGGAACCTTCGGCTTCTGTGCAGAGGAAGTGGATTTGGGGGTGGTTTGAGCTGCCATCAGACCGCTGCGGTCCGCTGCTGGGGCTTCAGGAGCTCCCGGGAGCAGCTGGGCCTGGGGTCGTGTCTGCCTTCTCACGGGCACCTTCTGTACCGAGCAGTGTTGCGGCTGGAATGGGACCCGCTCAGTCCGACCTTGGCCTCTCACCTCCTATGGGTGAGGGTCTCTCATAGCACGAGTAAGTGTAAGTGACACTACATATGACGGGGACTGACAAAGCGAAACGAAGTTGGTTCCCGCCAACCACGCTCATGCTGACAGGTGATGACTCTTCTCTTCTCTCCTTTCTTCTCTTCTCTTTTCCCGAATCTCCATCACTTTTCTGTTGCTACTCTGATACCGCCAACTCGTAGCTTCAAACTACACAAGTTATTACTGAACACTTGCTAATTCCAGCACAGGTCTCACGGAGTTAAAGGCAAGGTGATGGCAGGGCTGTATTTCATCTGGAGGCTGTAGGACAAAATTTATTCCCTGGCCTTTCCTGGCTTCTGGAGGCTGCCCGCGTTCCCCGGCTCTTGGCCCCAGCCCTCCATTTTCCAAGGCAGCAACGTAGCATCCCCTGCCCCCCCTCCAGTGCCTCCCTTCTGCCTTTCCCCTGGGGGGAACCTTGTGATTTCACCTGTGGGCCCATTGCATGGCCCAGGAGAACGTCCTTACCTTAAGGCCAGATAGTTAAGAACCTTGACTCCCCTATAATTGCAACTTCTTTTTGCGTGTGAGCTACCATGTATCAGGACGTGGACATCTGTGTGGGGCCGTTACTCCACCCACTGCTTTCTCTCTCTCCCTTTCATGTCTACTCTGTGGCAGAAAATTCTCGTCAGAACCTGAAAATACATAGTATCCATGCTCCCACGCTCCCTCTGCATACCAATGGCAAATATTACTAAGAATCAAGCCTTTCCGTTTTACTGATCCTACATGAGACCCCACAATCATCGCACAGACACAACTGGTCTGTTGCAGGCGGCTTGCCAGAGGAAACCAGTTTGCTCTCCTAGATGCAGATATATAATTTGCAGTATGCAATTTGTGTCAGGAAACACTGCAATAAGGACAAACTCTTGTATTGCCTTTTAAAATTACATGTTATTATTTATTTATTTTACAAATAAAATTAATACGTGTTCACTCTATAAGACTTAGAAAGTGCTTTTTGTTCCCTTTCTTTGCAGAACTTTTGGAAACGGTATTTTTTTAAGACCTAATCGAGGTCATACTGTAAATGAGCATTTTTGGGTGGAGGTTAAAACTTCAGTTTTACCACCGATAAAGCTCTGTTAGAGAACGTAGCTTAAATGAGTGGCCAGATGGTTTGCCAAGAATACTTTGCTTTTGAGTTTGAATAACCTCCTAGTGGAAGGGCTGGAGAGCCTGACTGATTGGAACATTATAAATATGGCCCTTTTAAAAAATCAACGTTCCACTTTTTTTTTCCATTTCATGAAAATATACTTACTGTAAAACTACTTTTAATGGCTACTTTGGATGAGTATCCTAGTTTAATTACCCATGGCCCTCATAATTGGACAGTTTGGTCGCTCCCAGTTTTTGCTGTTACAAGTAAATCTGTGAAGGACATCTTCATGCCAAAAGCATTTCCAAGTCATCCTAAAATCAAAAGGACTGTAAAACGTGGGGGGAAGCCCATCAAACCACTGAGAATTCACGAGCAGTGATGGTGTTCTGTGCACCTCTTGCAGCCGTAATTAAAATGCGTTCCCTAGGGTGGAATCAGCGCCATCAATCTTGAGCAAGTGCCAGAGAATACGCTTGTCCCAGAGGAGTCTGTGGAGCCAAGGGCCTCCAGACTCAATGGACTTGTTCCCTCCCTCTGGCTCTTTAGCTCTGGCTTCCTCGCAAATATGTAGGCCCAGACGCCACTCCCTGTGACAGGGTGATCACAGGTGGGAGTCACCTCACACCCTTTCTCTCTCTCTGTTGGGCTCCTTTGACCCCACAACTCTGTTAATAGGATTGTTCTCGATTACATAGGCTGGGTGACTCAGTGGTAGTCTCCCTACACATTAATAAATGGGGGCTTTATCTCATTGAAAACAGTTTTATTTTAAAATAATTCTAAGCTGTATACAGTCTTGTGGATTTCCCAGGTACCTGTCCCCCATCTTCCCTCAATGACAGTGTCATCTTTAACCATACTGTATTATCAAAACTAGGAAATTGACTTTGATATCCTACTGTTAACTAAACCATGGGCCTTCCTTGGGTTTTACGTCTTATCTAATAAAGTATTTTGAAGATAGTTTTCGGTTCACAGGGAAATTGAGAGGAGAGTAGATACTTCTCCTATACTGTCTGGCCCTGCCTCGCACGCACAGCCTCCCCATTGTCAGTGTCCCCACCAGAGTGGTACATTTGTCACAATCCAGCCTACACTGCTAGGTCATACTGACCCTAGGCCCTAGTCTATAGTAGGGCGCCATATTGGTTTTCCACCTTCTGTGAGTTTTGATAAATGTATTGTGACATATATCCAATGTTATGGTTATCATGCAGAGCCATCTCACTGCCTTGAAAGTCCTCCGTTCATCCCTTCCTCTCCTGACCCCCCCGTCTCCCCTGGCAACCACTGATCCTCCTCCTTTCTCCATAGCTTTGCCTTTTCAGAATGTCCTCGAGTTGGAATCATACAGCATTTGGCCTTTTCAGATTCTTTCACTTAGTAATAGACATTTAAGGTTCCTCCGTGTCTTTTCATGACTCGATGGTGCATTTCTTTTTAGTGCTGTATAATATTCTATTATCTGGATGTGCCACAGTTTATCCATTCACCTACTGAAGGACATCTTGGTTGCTTCTAAAGTTTTGGCAGTTATGAATGAAGCTGCTTAAACACTGTGTGCAGATTTTTGTCCCGACCTAAGTTCCCAGCTCCTTTAGGTAAACACTAAGGAGTGCAGTTGCTAGAGTGTGTGGTAGGCGTGTGTTTAGCTCTGTAGGAACCTGCCACTCTGTCTTCCACGGTGGCTACACCATTCTGCGTCCCCACCAGCAGTGTGTGAGTGTTCCCTGTGCTCCGCATCGTCACCAGCATTTGGTGTCGTCAGTGTTCTGGATTCGGGTCATTCTAATAGGTGTGAGGTGATACTCATCCTTGCCTTAATTTGTATGTCCCTGATGACAGGCTGTGGAGCATCTTTCAAGTGCCTGCTCATCATCTGTTTATCTTCGTTAGTGATGTGTCTGTTCAGGCTTTTTGCTCTTTTTCTTTTTTTTAGAACTTGGGTTATTCATTTTCTCAACTTGTTGAGTTTTACAAGTTCTCTTTATATTTTGGATTAACGCTCCTTTATCAGATACGTGTTTGCAAATATTTTCTCC